GTATTCAACTAGTCTGTCGGTTCAACTGTTTGCGTTTGCTGATCAAGGTTGGCCAAGTTCAACGGGTTCACTCGCACCGGCCAAAGCCTCTCCAACAATCCTAACGTTGGGCCGCCCTGGGTACTAAACATCGAACAGGGAAATTAGAGCATAAGATGTTTAGTCCGTACAGCTGGCCAGATCACATGTGCGCCTGAATGCACGCGTGTGGGCGGTTGAGCACGTGCATGCACGTGCTCTCGCGCTCAAAAAACCACCAGCGAGGCTACGAGCTATCCGCGAAGCCTAAAAACAGCTTTAATTGCTGTACCCGTCTGCTTTCTATCAGACAAGGCAGACCGCTGTTAATGGCATGATTCTTATCAGTGTTTATTTTGTTTCATAATGGAAATAACATTCAATGGCTCAGGTTCTGCTGGTAAAAAAAATAGCAGGGGAGCTGTAAGGGGAAGGTGGAAGGAGTAGGACAACAACGGGCGACTGGAAATAAGAGGAGGAGGAGGAGGAGGAGGAGAAGGAGAAGGAGAAGGAGAAGGAGGAGGAGCAGGAGGAGCAGGCAAGAGTGAGGCTATTATTTCGAAGCAAATTGCTTAAGCGGCCGGCTTGTTGGTAATAGAACATTAAGGATTATTTATTGTCAAATCCATCCCCGGAAATAAGGAATGCGCTGCAAACTGGCAGCCGTGGATATCATCGACCGACGGCGTCAAATAAGTCAGTTTTCCTTGTTCTTCTAGGCAATTTTAGCCACGCGACCAATCACCAACAGTAACGGTGATTTTATCAATTTGGGTGATGAAAGTTTTTAGACAGCGCCGCCACATCTGCTGATGCCCACGAGTGCTACCAAGATAAGGGGCACAGTGGCAGTGTGTCTCTTTTAATTGCCTAATGTGCCTACTTGCCAAGGGAGGAATGCAGCTTGCAAATGGTGGATGAAAGTCTGTATTCAGGATTTCATCAAGTAGACATGGGATGATGTGACTCGCATGGTTCCGCCTTTACCTGTGTGAAATTATTTTAACATTTGTCACATTTATATATGTTTTGGGAAGACAGCCTTGCAAAATCTCGGTCAGGCCCTCTTTCAAGAAGAAGAAGAACTGCTGGTGTTCCAGTTTTAAAAGGCAACTTCCTGCCGAATAACAGGAAATGATACCATGCACCCAGGTCGTGGACTCGATTGGCACATTGTACATCCGTGCCATTGTGAAACAGGTGCAACCTCGATGGGGCGACCGCAATGTGTCATGGCTGACGAAAGTTTGCCCAGGTGACTGTTCTACGCGGCAGACACCACGGGCTCTCGCAGACAAAAACGATGCCATACGGATGCCCATATCTGGGAGTCAAACAAGAGACCTGGGAAACGCCATGGAGCGGACTCGCAGGCATGACGACCAGCCATATTCAAGGTCGACGGGATAGAGGAGGCCAAGACAATACGACAGGCAAACAAAGTTGGGATGCCGTTTACTAACGTCGCCTAATACCAACTTCTGTCATGAAGTCCCCATTGCCAAATCGGCTTCGGATATAAAGCACTGTCAGCACGATCAAACGATTCCCTGAACAAGAAAAAAATCATTGTATCTAAATTAATAAACCTACCGCCTTACGGTAGCATCACGTTCCTGTCTTGGTTTGCTCTTCTTGGTCAATTTCGTATCCACTTCAATGGACAGAGAGACAGGCGCCAATAGTGTAGGCATAATACCAGCTTATCTGCATCACGATTGTACATCCAGATCACGTATCGGCCCGCCCGTACGTTTATAAGTGCATTGCAGCGAGACTGGAAGGTGAGTGCATTTGGCCTGTCGCGTCCGCCCTCCTAGCTAACACGGCCATATACACGGCACTTCGACGGTCGCCAACGACGATGTCTAACATCATGGTGGGCTCAGGGACGGTGACTTGAGCATAAATTTGTTCAAAGTGATAGTCGACTTCTACAGAATCTACCGCATCCTCCCTCATCCATCTCAGCCCGGTGTCAAGACAGAGTCAAAAAGACCATACGCGGAATCGGGCAGTGACCGACAAGACTAAACAGCCCCATCTGCGCTTGCCACATACGCCCAATCGGAGCACGATGGGCAAGGGTTTCACATCAACAAGGAGAACGCTGATTCTAACTGAGTGGGAGTGACATTGAGGCCACACCAAGGGGAGGGGGGGGCAATTGCTGCCCAGCTCACCATCTTGGGCGGCGGACCGAGTTATTTTGTCAAACGGCAGACCTCCAAGCCACGGCTTTCAGCACAACGTGGTAGATTCAGGTGCTTCAGAGTGTTTCTAGTGAAGAATATGTGCTGAGAATCGTGAAGATGCAGTCCCCAGAGTCAGGCTTACTCTCCCTTCTCTCACCTAAGCACTAGACCACTGTCCGAGTCGGTCGACCATCTGATGTGGAGATTGGGCGCAAGTGGCTGAATGAGCTCATGTGCGTGTGCCACACACGACCTGGCCTCCCACACAATTCACCAGATATTCACACAAAAGGATGGGTTGCTCGGACCTAAAATGCGTTAGAGTGCCATAGAGGTCATACGGATAGGGTGTCGAAGAACACGATTCCAACTTACATGAGAGGTGCCTAGTCCGTCCCTGTGGTGGGTGATGTGGGGGAGGTTCGGGTTTTGTGTACGTGTTGGTTGGAAGATATGTGGTACTGAGGTTTGGTTTGTGGTAGTTTGCCGCATATTTACATGGCGGCGCATGGAGCCTGTAGGTCCATGAAATGACTGAATTTTCATGGACCGTGCTGGAAGTTAGGTTGGGTCCGGAGGGTTATTTCAGGAACCGGACACCGATTCGCCTATCCCAATTCGATGAACTCGCAAGTGACCGGCCGGGCCGATGCGCGATGAGAGGGCGCAACCGTAATGAGGACAGGTCGAGATTTAATCTGTGTTGCTGGCGATGGAAACGGCGGTAGTAAGGATGGTGGTTGACGGGACGTCAAGAGGGGAGGGGTTTCCCCGGTGGGAGGGAATAGGGTGGGCGGTAGTTGTCGTCGCCGGGGTTGTGGTGGTGATAATGGGGGCTGGTGGGCGATAGTGGTGGTTTATCAGGTGTACGACCAGCAGTCGTCAACATTGACGTCGGCAGGAATAATTAAAGTGGCGTTTGCGGAAGCAGTAGTTGGAGTTTCCGTGATGTTATTGCATTGGGTTCGAGGAAGTCCGACGAGACCTATGCGCGCGAGGAATGTCCGTTGACAGCGTGGACACGATGGAAGGGACTGGGTGCTAGTGTTGTGGGCCGGAGAAGTTTGAGACTTGCCATCCGCTCTTTTGGTTCTGGCAGTGTTGATCCGATTGACTTTGTTTATTGCCACTCCAGTCTCCACCGTTCTTCTCCAAGCCGGGCGATCCTAGGCGGGGTCCTCCCAGGTCTCAGAATTGATAGCTCACTGAGGGACATTTTCAATGTTCTGGTAACATTCCTGTCATCCGTGTTTACGAGTGCCCATTTCGACGTCGCTACAGAGTAGCCTCTTGGGTGCAAACTCGTCATCCATCCTCACGACGGCTCTATGAGAGCACCAACCATATACTAGCACACAACAACGATAACTAAAATACTGCAAGTAGCCATTCTCGCACAGTCCTAACACACGTGGTAGCTTCATTATCATTTCCGGTTTCTTTAACGCAATGAAAATCCCTTATCACTTAGGCATGCGTCTACCCCAGGGTTTTACTACGCTGATTGTGGAGAGTCAGACGTCACATTTGTGTCGCAAGCTTTAGACAGAGGTTCGAGTGTAGGGGTGTCCAGTTGTGGGACCACATGATGGTCGTAGTAGGTTGCTCACTTACTTGCAGGTTTAGACTGCGTGTAGCGTCCATCAACTGGCGGCCAACTCTCACATGTGGCTCCTCAAAGCTAGACTGCTTGGCGGCTACACCCCGGTAACTGCCCGAACCGGCGGACAGAACCAGGTGAGGGTATCCGTGTGTTCATCTCCTAAGACGGTAACTCGGCTTTGCTCCCATCATCGCTGCCCGATGGATCACTGCCTCAGGATCCCCGAGATGATGCTCCGTCTGCAAACCCTGTAGGAGACCACAGGCACTCAGCAATCCCCTGATGTCGTGAAAGGAAGATCGACCACTTTCCACTTCTTTGCACCTATTCTTCACCTTCTTCATCTGCCCTTCACTCTCTCCACTCTCCATTCTGCTCTCTTATCCCGCGGATCGCCACATCGCCACGGTCACGCACGACGCCAAAGAAGGACTGGTTCGACGACAACGACGCCGCCATCCAAAACCTGCTCGCCGTAAAGAATCGACAGCACAAAGTCTATTTCAATCACCCTACCGACAACATCAGAGTAGCCTTCTACTACAGTCGTCAACTTGTGCAACAGCAGCTGTGCGAGATGCAGGACATTTGGACGGCCCGTAAGGCCCAGGAGATCCAATGATACTCGGACCGCAAAGAATGGAAGAACTTCTTTGCCGCGATCAAGGCTGTTTGCGGTCCCACAGCCAAAGGCACCGCTCATCTTTTCAGTGCCAACGAAACCATACTACTCACTGAGAAGACGTAAATTCTACGGTGATGGGTCGAACACTTCAGAGTCGTCCTCAGCCACCCCTCCACCATGTCCGACGCCGACATCAACCTCCCGCCCTCTCTTACATGAAACCATTAAGGCCGTGCAACTGCTCTCCAGCGGGAAAGCACCCATATCAGACGCGATCCCTGCTGAGATCTAGGGGCACGGTGGCCCCCAACTTATGGATCATCTGACAGCACTATTCCAGGAGATGTGGCGTCAAGGGGAAGTCCCGCATGACTTTAAGGACTCCGCAAGCGTCCACCTCTATAAGCGGAAAGGAAACCGCCAGCTCTGCGATAATCACCGAGGCATCTCCCTGTTCAACACCATCGGAGAAATCTTCACACTCATTCTTCCCAACCGTCTGAACAACAACCTAGAACAGTGTCTCCTGTCGGAAAGCCACTGCGGCTTCCGCTGTCATTGTGGGACCACAGACATTATCTTCGCCGCCCACCAACTGCAGGAGAAGTGTCAGGAGATGCGGACCCACTTCCACTCTACCTTCATAGATCTGAAGAAAGTTTTGGACACGGTTAATCGCGAAGGGCTGTGGAAAATCATGAAGGAATTCGGCTGTCCCGAACGATTCACTCAGATGGTGTGTCAGATGCGCGATTGCATGATGGTGTGAGTCACGGACAGTTGAGCTGTCTCCGAGGTATTCGCAGTGACCAACGGAGTGAAGCAGGGCTGTGTCCTTGTGCCTAACCTCCTCAGTCTCATGTCCTCTGCCATGCTGATGGACGCCTACTGTGACGAACACCCCACGGTTCCGCGTCACCTACAGGACGGCCGACCAACTCTTCAATCAGTGGCAGATACACTTCCAGTCGTGTGTATTCGCAACTTCCGTCCATGAACTTCTCTTCGCCGACGACTGCGCCCCAACACCACCTCGGAAGGGGGCATGCAAAGGAGCATGAATCTCTTCGCCGCCGTCGCCGCCGCCGCCTGCGACAACTTAGGCCTAATCATCAACACGGAGAAGACGGTAGTTATCCATCAACCGCCACCCGACGCTGCCTACGACGCACCCCAAATCAACGTGAACAGCGCCGAACTACAAGTCGTGGACAACTTCACCTACCTGGACAGCACCCTCTCTCGCAACACCAAAAACGATGCTGAAGTGGTTTACCAGATTTCAAAGGCCGGCGAAGCCTTTGTCCGTCTGCGAAACCAAACTCGATGTGCACAAAGCGGCCATCCTGCCGACGCTGCTGTATGCAGCGGAGACTTGGACGGCGTGCAAGTAGTAGGCACGAAGACTCAACCATTTACACCTCAGTTGTCTCCTACAGATATTTAAGCTGAGGTGGCAGGACCGGATCCCGGACACGGACGTACTCGGACGGATGGGAATCCTCAGCATCTACACAATGCGGAGACAACTGCAACTACGCTTGTGCGGCCACCCGGTGCGCATGGACAACGAGCGGTTACTCAAACGACTGTTCTATGCAGATGTCACCACGGGTTCCCGCCGACAAGGAGGTCAAGTCTGGGTCTACAAGGATACCCTGAAGACTCCCTTGCGGCGCCTGCAAACCAACCCGGCAAACTGAGAAGACCTCGTCCGGGACCGACCGACCCGGCGGCAATCTACGAAGCCAGTCGCATCATCGATGCCAAAGCCAAACACGAAACTCGCTAATTTCCACTGCCCCCGCCTCGCAACGCCAATAATCAAACGCCCCTGTCGTGCCCACGATACCAGTTGT